TATACTCGTGAGCATTGCACGCCTCTACATTGCCTGTGGCAAGAGGAAAAGCGCTGTGAGGCGGCCGCTTACAGTGCTGCCTCAGGCAGGGGCGAGACAATTTTACACCCCTCCCTCCTGCCATGGCATCGCCATTTAAAACTATGAGCACAACATTGAAGCCTACGACACCTCCGAAGTCAATAATGTCAATGAGTGAATCCCACATCCTCGGTTCTCTTGAATCACCAATCACCATGCAACATGTAAAAATTGAGTAGCTGCAAATCAACTAACTCTACTTCCCCTGTTCCGCTGGTTCTAGTACAATCAGTTTTGCAGCATAACAAGATTGTCAAGGTGCCCACCCTCCGTTTGGAATTTTTTACTGTAAGATCTTGTTGCTGGGTTGTACCCTCGCATTTATATGATACCAAGGCTGAAAATTTCAAGGCAAATACCTTCTCTTTCCTAACGGAGGGAGGTGGATAATTCACTATTCCAACCTGCATTATGACAATCTTGGCCTCTATGCAATAGTCAATGGTGTTCCTTTTTACAAGAGTGAAGAGTCGTAGTCTTTTGATATTCACTCAGAACCTTTTTCTCTGTAGCCTCTCTCTCAAGGCTGTTTTCTGGGAGGCGGCTATAATGAAGATACAATATAAAGGATATCAATCTTAGAATATTTTATGCTGATTTTTGGGACCTTAATTGGTGCTTAATCTTCGGATTTTGACTTATTTATTATTCCGTACATGCTATTATTTTCTTACCCCTTAATTACCACTTTATATTAGCTATAGTTTAGTATGTAAGATATGGTTGTCATTAAGATAGTATGGAGATATTTTTTTTAGCATTCGCTATTGGGCATACTGGGAAGATTTCTGTGGGAGAAGTCATGTAAATTTTGTTCGCTACATGCTATTATTTTCCTACCCCTTGTATTTCTTATTACCATTTTATTTTAGATATAGTTTAATATATAAGATACAATTGTCAATAAGATAATATGGAGAGATTTATTTGGTAATAGCATTGGCTATTGGGCAGACTCGGAAGATTTCTGCTAGGAAAGTTATGCAAATCTTGTTCATCCCTATTGATTTCATCAATAAAATTATGTATTTTATTTTCTGGATCCTTTAAACCCAACAGTTTTTAGCTAGTAGTTTCTAACTTTTTTCTCAGAGAATGTGACTCATTGTGACTAGTATGTTGATCCCATTTTTGCTCATTTCAGCCCCAGTGGACTGCATTTTGTGTCTTGCAAGGATGTTTCTTCGTATTTACTCTCTCTTCAAGGTGTCCAACATACAGCCACACATAATGATATTGACAATGATGATAAATTGACTTCTCGTGCAGTAAGTTAGCTTGCTTTTGATGCTGATTTTTGCAAATCCAGTCATTAATTCTTTTCAAATATGTCGTGATGGCGGTGTAAAGGGTAGCCCAACTTCCCATGTTCCATCTCCCACTCTCGGTTCCGCTTCCAGTAATCATGAGATGCAAATTGAAATTGGTGCTGGAGCTTTGTTGGAGAGCAGTTTAGAAGAAATTTTACATTGCAACAAGTGCAACGCAAATTTCAAGGATAGAGATGAATTATTGCAACATGAATCATCTGTTCACTCAAGAAACAGATACAAAAATTCCTTGCACATTACTGATCGAGTGATAAAAAGCAGGTCGAGTACACTTCGTTTGTAGAGAAAGTTCAATAAATGGCTATATAGAATACAAGAAACATAAAAAAGGGGTAGTAACATGAAAAAGGACAACTATTACGTTGTTCGGTGAACTGGATATATCTAACTACATGGTTGGAAGCAATAGGACAGGAGTTACGACGTCTATAAAGAAAGAGCTATGCTTCTGGCTGTTCTGTGGGAAGAATGAGTTTGTTCCTTTGATTATATTTTTGCTTTATTTTTTTTTTTCCGTCTGATCTCAATTTCTTTTATTGGTATTTATTTTCCTGTAATTTTTTTAATATTGAAAATGTATGTTGATGTATTACTAGACTAATGAAAATATACTTCTTCTGGAAATGGTGTTGTGCTCATTTGCTTGGCCGTATTAATGTGTTCATAAATTTGTTGAAGAATATTTTGTTTGTTTTTACAATAAATGTTCTCCTTACATTTGTAAGGCTTGATTAGTATCCGACAATTATGTCATTGGTTGTTTTAGAATGGCTTAATTGTCGGTAATATCATTATCTTACACCGTTTGACAATTTTAATCAAACTTTTAAATATTAGCAAATATAACATAACATTGTCTTAAATATTGCAATTTGAACTCAAACCCCGTCGGCAACGATATTTTTGCCAGTTTGTCCGGCTAGACTCCTATGTGGACAAATTGTTTTATGGTCAAAAGTTAAAGGCTAACTTAGCAGGAACAGTTCTTGCAAAAACGACGTCACTGTGGAGAGATGCGACTTAGAGCCTAGAACCTTAGGTTCCCCAACGATGACATTTCTGGCGGCAGGGCTCGAGCGGGCCTGGACCAGGGGGCTCAGGAAAAATTTTAACCCCGACGACACGTTCTTCTCGTGCGTCTGTGCCTTCCTTTCGCCCCATAGTGCCTGCGCCAACATCCTCTACGAGATTTGCCTCCAGCGTTTGGGGAATTCTAGCAAGCAGTCGCTCGATCCGCCACGGTCCTCATCTCTGGAGCGACCTGTCGTGGCCATTCCCCTATTGCCAATTCTCCCGAACCGCAATCCACCCCTGAACTCGTCAATCAAGAACGTCCTAACGTTTTTTTTTTCCGTCGACTGGTATGAAAATCCGTCGAGAACCACGATGGGTAGGGGTGGACCGAAAGTTTCAATCTAAGGCATGGGATTGTGAATCGGGCCGAGATTTGAGCCCGTCTTGTTCGATTTCAATCAGAAGAGTCAGACCCTGCTTTTTCTCTCTTTCTCAAACCCAAATCGAGAAGCGGTGGCGGCGACGGTCGTGGGGCTGGCATAAGGCAACGATGTAAAATTAGGGTTAAGAGAATTTGGGAATTTTGGGTTTTGTCAAAATTCAATGTTTGTGTTCACTTTTAACACATCATTAATTAATTGACCACGTTAGCCAGAAAATTTGTTCACATAGGAGCCTAGCCGCCATGTTTTCTTTCATCACCAACACACATTCTACGCGTGTATTCCTATATTCTTAAGTATACAGTTTGAGCGAGTTTTGACTTGAGCATCAGAGAGTTTTTCGCCGGGAAGGGGGTCATCAGAGCTCAAGGAAGAGGACTGTTCAAGGCGTAAGGTGTTTAATCCGTTCGTGACTCAAAGTGACGTAACATAGTTCACTTGGGTCAAGGAGCTACCAATGGAGGGAGGACAGAACTAGAATGAAGACTTGATCAGGGAGATTCTTAAAGAACCAAACTGTGAAGCTATTCTCGGGATCCAATATTTGAACCCCAACTATGAAGACATTTGGACTGGGGGAGCTAAAGGTCAGTTCTCTGTGACAAATACTTACTCAAATCTTATGAAGGACAAACTTAATGGTTGGGATACACCTGAGAGCAGCACCTCAACAGAGAGTGCTAAAAAAGCTAGGGACAGATGCGGGAGACTGAAGATCAAAGGAAAGTTGAAGCATTTCCTATGGAAGTGCTTCTTAGAGACATTACCAGTCAACATGAAACTGGGGAGCAGAGAAGTTGATGAGGATAACATCTGCAAATGTTGTAGTGAGGGGGAAGAAACCATAGTTCACCTCCTCGTCAAATGCTCAACAACATAGAAGGTATGGGAAATTTCTCATTTGGTCTGGCATGGGATTCTGATAAGAGTGTTATCTTCTTTAAATATTGGTGGTAGAATGATTATGGCCTTTATAATTCAGACATTTCTGAGGCTTGTATTCATTTATCCACATACATATTGTGTTGGCTTTGGTAGGCTCGTAATCTTTAGGTCTTTAAGAGCATGTGGAAGCAAGAAAGGGACATCGTGCAGTCTACCCTGAGGGACAGGACTGATTTTGTAACTTTGAAATAGTGATTGGTAAGAAGTTTGGCAGGGTAGATTTAGTCTAGGTCCTTATGTGAAGTTAGGGGTGCACAAAGTTTGGCTAACCGACCCAAACCGTCCGAAACCGAAAATTCAGTTTGGACCAAAACCAAAACCAAATATTTAGTTCGGTTTCGGTTTACATTATCTTAAAATTTTGATTTTCGGTTCGGTTTGGATAATTGTGATCGGTTAACCGAACCGAAAACCGATTTATACATATATATACATATTTTTTTATTTATACATATAAGTTATAAAAGCAATATTATGCTTCAATGATTGATAATTTTCAAGTTTCAATGACCCTTAAAATGGCTCAAGCATTAATTTGCACTCAAAATTGGTTTCGTCATAGTCCGAGTCACGATTCGGGTTCGAGATCTTCCTTTGAGGATAATTTAGAATTTATTGAGAAAATTAAATAAGGTAATAAATAAATATATATTATTTGGTTCGGATAAAACATCAAAATTTTTGTTCGGTTAAAAATTTGAAATTTATTGAGAAGATTAATTATGTATTGCGATTAACCGAAAACCGAACCAAATCGACCGCTGGTTTTTCGGTTAAAAACCGAACCGAACCGTAAATTTTGGTTTGGTTTTCGGTTAACCGAAAATTTGGTCGGTTCGGTTTGGTTCCGACCGAATGAGCAGCCCTATGTTCATGGTTTATTTCCTTCTTGTTGTTTGCTTTTGGTGTAGCTTAGTCTATTGCATGCTGTTGATGATCTTTTGTATTCTAAAAAGTGTCAAATGGTCGTGTTTGTCTTTAATTTGCAAGATCATTCGTGTAGGGTTTGTCTGGTTTTAGGCACTTTGCTAGGACGGTTAAAAAAAAAAGTAAGAATTGATGTAGACTGAAATTATGAGATGCAACGAATAGAGGGACCGGAAAGGTAGGACACCTACTACTATAAGAGCATCTCTCAGTGCTCACATTGAAAAATTGATGCCACATGGCACAATATAATTGGTATTGTCTAATGGTATTAAATGAATGTACTTGACATTGACATAAAATTTGGAACCAACTTCAATGCACTTATTTTAGACTCAGTGTCTTAACTATTTAAAATTAAATTTAACTAATAAATGGTTTAATATCTCAACCAATATTTATTTAGTTTACCAATAACCAAAGACCCATTATATAATGATTTGACACGTGTTCATCAGTTGTGACTCATTTTTTTAATACAAACCATTAAAAATACGAGACCTTTGTACTTGACAGGTTTTATAAATTTTTATTTTATTTTTTATTAAAGATTTTAGTTTAAATTATTTATCTAATTTTTATAATTTATATTTTACAAATTAAAATAATTATAAATGTTCGTATACTTCTTGCCTGAATTTTATAAATTTTTTTATCTTAAATTTTGTACATAAAAATTAAATTTAATAGTAGTGAAATTAGATATAAAATATTTTAAAAACATGCGCAATGAACAACACACAAACATTCTTCATAATAAATAATTGAATAAATAAATAACAACATGTTTGTAGAATATTTTTATTTTATTTTCTACAACAACAAATTAAATCTAATAACAGTGAAATTAGATATAATATGTTTTAAAAACATGCGCAATAAATAAATACATAACATCATGTTTGTAGAATATTTTTTGATTCATTTTCTACAAGTTGAAAAATCTAAAACATATAATCATGATTAAATTAATCGACTAAACAAATAGTATTATATATATATGTGCAATATATGTAATAAATATTATTTTACATACTATAAAGAGTATTTCGCAAATACCTTTTTATTTATTAGTTATATCGCGATAACATAAAAATATTTTGTATATATATAAAATATTTTGTAGATAAATTCCTTTGAATTTTCTCGAGCCATTTTCTCTCTCAATTGTCCGCGAAACCCTTATATTTGTTGGCACAATTTTTTTTCCACGTTTTCTTAAGATTTGGTCACGCCACACGGCCACAGTGAGCATTGGAGAGAAAAAAACAAACAAATTTTTTTCCATGTTTTCTTAAGATTTGGTCACGCCACGTTAAAAAAATATTGGTCAAGACAGTGAGCATTGGAGAGAAAAAAAAAAAAAAAAANTTATTCTCTTTTTGTCCTTTTTCTTTTCTTTTTTCAACGGCTATGCAAGCCTTTTTTATTATTTTTTTATTTAATGTTACTTCAATTATTTTTGTATCCGTTTAATTTTTTTTTTCAATTCTATCTGTTGAGCTTTTTTTTTTATACTTTCTATCATTATTTTTTGTCTATAAATATATCTCATTCTTACATTTCTTCTACACCAAAAAATTAGCAATTTTCATTTTTTAAAAGAAAAAATGGATCCCAATAATAGGCAAAACTTTCAAAATTTCTCAAGTTCTAATACTAACAATCCTGATGAATTTCCATTATTCCAAAATTCACAAACTCCGCCAAATTTATCATTTTCACAAGCTCCTTATCGAGCACAATTTTTTCCACAATTCCCATCAAATTTTCCTTTTATGCAACAATCCCAAAATTATCCAATGTCTGGCAATATTCAATACTCACAATATCCTCCACAATCTTTATATCAAAATCCACCACCTGAATATTGGCAGTACATAAGTAGTCAAAATCTGGTGCAATCTTCTTCGCAACAATCGAGTCAATCTTCCGGATCTCAAATGAGGAAAGAACTCAATACTCAAACTTACGTTCCGGAAACACAATTACAGGATCGTGAAGCAGCTATAAATGTTGAAATGCCAAGAAACACACGTGTTGCTGTTGAGGGCCGGAAAAAGCGTCCACAATGGACAACGGAAGAGGACGTGCTATTGGCAAAAGCTTATGCGACAATAAGTGACGACCCTATTACCGGTAATGATCAGAAGACCGAAGCGTTTTGGGTACGTGTTACAAAATATTATAATGATAATACACCTTCTGATTATATTTTTAGAGATTTGAATATGATAAGATCTCACTGGCATAATACAATTCAAAAAAAGGTGTATCGATTCAATGAGTGCTATAACAGTATTTACGGTGTGTATCGAAGTGGTTGTAGTGATGAGGATATATTAAGTCGGGCTTACAAAAAATATCGTACTGAGAATAATGGTGTAGCCTTCAATCTTGAGCATGTGTGGAGAATCCTAAAGGATCGTCCTATGTTCACTCCACAATCTTCTAATGATATTTTTGTTGAGAGAAAAAAGACGAGAATTGATGAGTCTGGTGCCAGCAACACTTCATCAAAGGGGATGCGAGCATTGATCTAGATGAACTTCATGAAGTGGCTCGCCCAATCGGATAGAAGGCAGCCAAACGAAAGGCCAAGGGCAAAGGAAAATCTAACCTTGATGAGATGACCGCAGAATATAACAACATGGTTAAGCACCTTGCTGAGTTAACAAGCTTGAAAAAGACTGAAGTTGAAGTTAAAAAAGCAACACTTGAGGAAAAGAAGCAGAGGAATCGTCGGAAAGACTATGATATTTTAATGAGGGACACAAGTCACATGACTCAAGAGCAACGTGTTACTCATGAGAAAATGTGCCAAGTAATTCGAGAGAAATGGAACTTTTAGACTTTGCATTATCTATTTTAATTATCCTTGTAATTCTGTACATTGTAATTTGCAAAATTGAATTTTCATCTTATATTTCATTTAAGTTTTGCAAAATTAAAACTATATATACTCACATATTTTATTCAAAGCAAACTCACAATATTAAAGCAAACTGACATATTTCCTAGTCAAAAGAAGGAAGCTTCCTCACAATTTCCTAGTCAAAGGAAGGGAGCTTCCTTACAACTTCTTAGTCAAAGAAAGGAAACTTCCTCGTAAGTTCCTAGTCAAAGGAAGAGAGCTTCCTCGTAAGTTCCTGATCAAATGAAGGGAGCTTCCTCGCAACTTCATCAAAAGAAACATTTGTTTGGCTATAAATACCTCATTTTGTATCCCATTTTGTATCCCATTCCAAGTGAAAGAAAAAGAAGAATCCTCACAAAATGTCTCAAAATTCATATAGATCCGAGTCTAATTCATCATCATCCACCGATAGTGAAGATGGTGAAAACACTAACGATTTAGAAGTTGAAATGATTTCATCAATCGTTCAACGAAGCCACGAGTTACTTCAAGCATACCAACATGAAATTGAAGTTCGTAGAAGAAGAAGGTTCATCCAGAGAAATCGAGAAGATGGACATAACAGACTTGTAAGTGATTATTTCTCTGATCATCCTGTCTACCCGGATCATATATTTCGTAGGCGTTTCCGTATGCGAAGAGAATTATTCCTTCGAATTGTGAATGCACTTCAGACACAATCATCATATTTCCAGCAAAACTTTGATGCATCAGGAAGACAAAGTTTGTCACCACTTCAAAAATGAACAGCAGCCATTCGCCAGTTGGCTTATGGAGTCCCAGCTGACCACCTTGATGAGTATTTACGTATGGGTGAGTCAACTGCTATCAAATGTCTTTTTAAATTTTGTGAAAGTGTGGTTCAAACTTTCGGTGATGAATATTTGAGAAGACCGAACAGTAGTGATGTTCAAAGACTCCTCCAAATGCATGAAGAAAATCATGGTTTTCCGGGTGTGCTTGGAAGCCTTGATTGTATGCATTGGGAATGGAAAAATTGTCCAGTTGCTTGGAAAGGCCAATTTACAAGAGGGCATGGGTCTCCTACGATTGTCCTTGAAGCGGTTGCTTCACACGATTTGTGGATATGGCATGCCTTTTTTGGTGTTGCAGGATCACGTAATGATATCAACGTATTGTATGAATCTCCTCTATTTAATAATGTGTTGCAAGGAAATGCACAAAACATTCCTTTCACTGTCAACGGCACGCAATATGTAAATGGGTATTATCTTACAGATGGAATATATCCAGAATGGGCTACGTTCGTAAAGTCTTTTCCTTGCCCGTCAGATCCTAAAAGAAAGTTATTTAAAGAAAAACAGGAAGCTGCTCGAAAGGATATGGAAAGAGCATTTGGGGTGCTTCAGTCTCGATGGGCAATTGTAAGAGGTCCTGCTCGATTTGGTATAGAAGAAAACTGAAATTTGTTATGTTGACATGCATTATTTTACACAATATGATTGTTGAAAATGAAGGAGGTGCAGTAACAAATTGGCACAATGACGAGGATGAAGAGCCCGTACAACCTATCGAGGGTTCAAATCGAGAATTTCAAAATTATATCCGTAGAAGTTTAGAAATACGAGATAACACAGTTCATCATCAACTTCGTGCCGATTTAGTTGAGCATATTTGGACTCATTTTAGCCACTAAAAAAATTATATTTTGCAATTGTATTATTTTTTTCTTGTGTAATCTTAATTTAAGTTATTTTGGTATTGTAGTGTGTTTTTATTTTCATGTATTTAAAATTTATTATTATAATTTAAAAATATTAAATTTTTATTTTTATTGAGAATAGAATATTAAAATTTATATTGAATGAATGGATATAATGGGTCTCATATTTGTATTTAAATGAATGTGTAGGGATGTGGGTGTGTATTTAAATGGAGAGAGAATTAGTGGAAAGGTAATGTGGAAATGATGTGGAAGAGAGAGAGTGTACTTTTTTGATTGAATGAATGGGAAAAAAATTAACAAATACGGATGCCCTAAGGCCCAATTACATTGGAA